TTAATTATAATTTACTTAAGAACCTTTTAAACGTTGCCTGTTTGGAGATTAATTAATACTATGTAATTTTCCGCCACGTTTGCGGTAACTAAATATAACCATCGCTTGCCTTTGAAGAAATAATTATGGGAATTATATTTTAATAAATGAATAATATAATAACACACAGTGTGTGTAGTAAGAGGCGACAGATAAAAATAAAACAGGAAATTTGCGTCAGCATCTCTCATTCAACACCTTAAAATAATAAAAAAACTGCAGATCAACCTCCAGTCGTAGACTTTTGATATGAATGTGTAAAAGAATGCATCACTACATTTCATGCCATGGGTGAAGTAACAGTCGACGACTGTGGGTCAAGTGCCAGAAAGATCTCATGATGTCCGATAAATGGAGTAAATAATCACCTTTTTTGAGCTAGTCGTAGAAACTAAAGACCGGTGGCAAAAACTGTAAAAGGTGCAAGACGTATGCTGCGTGATAATTGTGACAAATTCACCTAACTTCTAACGGCAGGAGCACATACCTGGCAGAATAATTTACGGAGTATTATTTATTAATACTTTACATAAAAAGAGACTTCTACGCGAATACTAAACATTGAATAAAATCCCTCCTATGTCCATGGTGCTCCCGTGACCATGCGTGCTGTAATTTCTTGGAACGTCGGAAATTAAAAGAAATTAAAATTAAAAGGGATAAAGCCAGTGTTAGTTACATTCAATAAAAAGTGTAGCTCTAGTTCTTGTCGCTAATCATACATAATATTTAAACAACAGTATATAATACGATGCTGGTATTTTGTGAGAAAGTAATCCATCCAGAAACTAATTTCATGGATTTTATGATTTTTAATTATATAAGAAATAAAATAAACAAATATAAGTAGGTAATCATTATAAACACGTAATCATTCATCATTCGAGTAGACATATGAACTGCAGACATAAAAAAATGGGTGGCTCTTCTAAGAAAAAAATAATATGTACATTTTTTAACCAAATCTAAATACAATTACATATTTTAATGTTTTTAACACGACATTCACCAGATTCTCGAACCAATTTTCTAAAAAGGCGGATAAAGCATACTTCGCAGCTTATGCATATACTATATAAATGTTATATAAAAATATAATTATTTTTTTTGTTTTAAAAATTTTATTGTAATGAGGATTATAACGGGCGGAATTTATGCATATTGGTATCCTCTAGCAGTCAAACTAGGATGTGGTGAAAATTATGTGCTCATTTAACACATTCAGGATTTTTATATATGATAAGATATGTAGTATCAAAAAAAATCGGCGATATATCAAGTCCGAAAACATTGGGGCATTGGGGCATCGCGGCATATATTTAATTTTCATTGTATAGCGGAAGGAGATATATATAGGCTGTATTTTTTTACTTTATATCTTTCATGTCAATGCAAATTAAAATAAATACTTGAGGAATATTAAAGCATTATATCAGGCACGACTATTACAGCAACATAAAACTAGTGCAGTGTTAAATCATTGAGTTCATGTGTTAATGATTATTTTTAGTGCATTACGGGGAAATAATTTAAAATTAATTCGAAGTCACATTTTATGGTTATTACCTTTGTTCAGAAATGATTAATTAGATAGAATTAAAAAAAATAACTACGGCCAAACTTTACATCCACTAAATTTAATACAATATTATAATAAGATGCCTACTTGCTCTTTACTAAAATCTATAACTATGATTTGACTGTATTTTGATTTTGATTATCTCCATGTGTCAGGAACTGCCGGCTACATTGCCGCCGATCTGATTTTAAATATGACAAATGAGTTACCTTCCGTCTAAGATAGGAATTATAGTAAGCCTAATCCATATACATATTCTATATATTCATACATAATCGGTTATAGTAACTCAAGGGCTGGTCGTTTACCATAACATAGATCTCGAGCAACCCGATATCAATGCCTGTCGGCACAACTCAAATTGTTTTTTTTTAAATTAGAATAAAGGTTATAACACAGTCCATTCGATGGTAAGTGAATTCTGTTGTCCATAGAAATCAGCATATTTCCTCTCAATAAAGAATCAAATGGTACATATGTTTTCACCCCTCAGGACTATGACGGAATGCCTTGTTTCCAGTTAAAGGGGTCTCCCATTATCTATACTCACCATATTAAATACGGCAGCATTAAGCTATATCGATAGACCGAAGATATGCGGTGGTCATCGAAGTTTAAAGCACTGTCTTGCAAATGTTGCAGGTGAACCAGAATGCACGTTTGATTAATTGAAATATATTAAAGACACTGTAATCTCCGCCAACTAGCATGCGCGGTGAGTTCTTCATTCCTTTTCCACTCGAAAACTCTAACTAGCAGTGAAAAATATCCAGGCGGTTCCTTTTTTCCTTTTTTTATATTTATATATTTACAAACTATCCCACTACTGACGTTTGAAATCACTCTCATAGTCATTTAAAATACTTCGTATCATAACTTTCTATAAAAAACTATAGGAAAAATATAAATATATATAGGAAAATTGATATTTTACTAAAAAAGTTGTTATTTTTCATTGAATTTACGTTCTATAAGTGAAACCAAACCACCGGTTTCAAGGATAACGGTGTTGCACAAACACCTTGTATATTTGAACTAGCTTAATACTTTAAGAATGACAGAAACAGGAACATAATTTTTTTTTATTAAAGGTAGATTACAAATAATACTTATAAAAAGTAATTTTTTTGTTTAATTACCATTGGGTAGAAAAGATCTCTGTTCTGAGAAGAACGAGCAAGACAATCAGCGGAACTTAAACAAAAACGGCTTAGAATCTCAGTGTGTTACAAAAATATAAAAATCTGCTCGTTACACAATTAATCAAAACTCGGTACCGATCCCTTTATTCCCAGGGGTAAGAATCATCCACAAATTCCTTAATATCATAATTACCCTTTTTATACAATCTTAGTTTCAAAAATATTTTCAACTTTGAGCAGATGAAATTTTGTATATTTTCAAGGATTTCATTACTAGATTTGTTATTAGCTTGTGTCTGTTCCTAGTAGTTACAGAATAAATATCACCTATTTTTGTAAAACAAATTTTATTTTTGTTGAAATACATTCAATTATCATAAATGTATTGAGACGTCAAATTTAATATATTATTCATTTCCTTAAATTTTTGCCTGTGTCTCTTTAGGTTTTAAATCTTTAATAATAATATAATAAAAATTATGTATTCTTATAGCCCTCTTCAGTAAAACCAATATATTTTTAGTGTCAGTCGCGTGTCTTCATAGCAAGATATACGACATTAAACTATGGAAATAGCTAAAGCAAACTAGTGTAGCTGTTTCAACACTGGTAAGATTTCAAATTTAGAAAAAGTCCGATGGCTAGTTTTGATATACGAGGGCCCCCTTGAAGCTTCGTGTTTAGTGTGATTACAAGAAAAATGGTGGTATCGGCAAGACTCAGCTTCTCCCCATTTAAAATTAAATTAGTAAATAAATGTTTGACATTTGGAGTAACGAATTTCATACTTTTATATTTGGTGTCATTTAAATTACTATCTAGTCATATTCGTTTCAATTTAAAAATTAATAAATTTTAAAATTAAAAGCATAGAGAATAGAGCCCTGAGTCGCGCCCATTCGTACTATCAACTTATAAGAGCTCATACCAATAATGACAACATTTTGCATTCTGTTACTGTCTGTGTTTATATGAAATAATTAATTTACGAACAACACTTACATCGGAGTGTTGAAGTTTTCTGATTAATATTTCATTGTGAACACAATCAAAGGCTTTGGATAGTTTACACAATATAACCAAAGCGAACTATGCATTCTCATATTCACATAGAACCAGCTGAACTCCAGCATCAGTTGTCGAGTGACCCTTTGTGATACCGAATTTATGTTTATGAAGTAAATTGTTTACATTAGTTTTAAAATATTATACTATACTTTTTCATGATACTTTATGACATGTAAAATTCTTTGTTGACGCATTTAGATTTTATATAAGTAATGATTTGGTGACGACAGGAGAAGAATTCAATGACTTAGTGGTTAAGATCGGAATCTAGATGTATCTTCAATTAAGAATCAAAATGTAGCACCAATATCTAACTAACATATGACTTAGGTTGATTGCTACGTTTTTCAGTATAAAGGGTCTCCGTTTCGCTACACTCATTATACTAAACAGCTAAACACATTAGTATTATATGGCTATTTTACGCTGGCATTCTATGTGAGCGTAGTCCTACTCCAGTCGAGCCAACTAGTTTGTCCTGTTGTAGCATGTGTCTAATTCGTGAAATTACTAAATTCGTGTCTGTAATTCTAATATTTCCCGGAAAAACAAGTCGTGGGTAATAAATATGGGGCACTGAACCCAAATTAATGGCTTTTAGAATTTTGTCGACAGACAAAAAACAGACATGTCGGTCTGTCTCTGTTTTCACGATTCACGCAAAAACTACTAAATACGTTTCGATGAAATTTTGTGTGTAGGTAGGTAGGGATTTGGGGCAACTTATTAATTTTTATTCGATTACGGATCTTAAAAACGGAAGGTTATGTATTTTACTTCCTTTTAAATATAATTTTTTAGAATAATTATTTTATATTATATAACATTTATAAAATTAAAATAAATAAAATATTAACCCTTTACAACCGGAGATTTTTTTTTCAGATTCTAACCATAAAACTTTTATGTTGCCTTCCTACTAGGTATATAGAGCTCAAAAAAATCAGTTAAAAAATCTCGAGGTCATAGCTTACCCACAAATCCACCCGCACGATCGTGAGTCGCAGGTCGTACACGACATAGTCACGATCGTGAGGGTAATTTAAACTAGCCCTATGTTTTGGTACTTTAAAGAATAATTAAAAAAAGCTTATACTTAATCAGCCTCTTTATTAATTATTTAGTTATTTTAATCATTCAGTCTCACATAATTTTTTTTTTAGAACTAAACATTAATTCGTGCCTTTGGCAACATGATACAAAATTTTCTGTAAAATATATACAAAACAAAACTAACTTCTAAAGTTGTACGCTACAATAAAAATAATTTTAATTAATGCTTCTCAAGCAAATCAGGAACTATCAGATCATCCTCTGGTATAGGAGGACTTGAAACAGTCTTTGCAACGTGCGATACACAAATACGTGTCGCATTTTGTGCAGCGTACCTTTGTGCGACTGGTACAATTTTCGTACCTGCACATTCTAGGTGCTTTTATTTCGTCGAACACTGGAAAATGTTCGTATCCATCATACCGCTTTGATTCAGACGGCTTGTTTGCTGGTCTGTACTGTCTTTTCGGAAGAGGAGATTCATTTTCATCCAGCGGCGGTTCATTTTCAATATTGCTCGTCGATGGCCGGTTTCTTGCCGGCAAACTTGACAATCCATCAGCAATGTTCATGCGGAAGTCTAACAAGGGCAAAATTTCCTTCCTGCTTAATTTATTTGCCATACAATCATTACTACACAGTCGCCAAGAATTGACAATTGCCAAGTCAAGAAAGTGTATCAGTACTTTCAGTGTCCATTTCTTTGTTTTGATGAATGTCCGATAATACTCCATCTGCTGGTCCAGAACATCAACACCGCCCATGTGTTAGTTGTAATGCTTGACTACTTTTGGGACAGGTACGTCTACGTACATCTTCAAGTGTTTTTCCCATCTCTTGACGATTGAAGATGAGGACGAGCCGGTGCAGTTTGACGACATTAGAACGGACTTATTGTCTTTCCATTTGACGACGACAGTCGGTCCGCAAACGTACTGCTGTGATTCTCCGCGAGCCATTCTAGCATCTGGTTTAAATTTAATCGCAGTACGGTCAGGGATCCTGTTGAACATGATTGTTCCCGTACTGTGAAGATTCCTCTTTGTCATCTCTTCAATTAGCGGAACAGTCGTAAAATATCTGTCGTGGTAGACACAACTTCCAGGCGGTACACTTTTCACCAGATGCAGAACCACAGAAGCTCCAAGTCCAAGAGATGTATCTGCAAACATGGTTTTAGCTCCTCGATATATGTCGAAGTCTAGCATCAAGCCTTCACTTGTGGTCAGCACAAAGTTCTTCAAACCCACCGGGCGCGGCTTATTTCGGACTACCTGGCGAAGTACACATCTGCCAGTAAATGGTACCATTTGCTCGTCAATGGAGTCGAAGCCAGGAACTCTTTCAAGTTTGTTATAGGCTAATTTTAACCGGTCAATCATCGGCTGTACTTTCCACAGTGGATTGTTACCATTACTTGGCGGAGCTTCATCAGCATCTACGATGTGCAATGCATTGCGGACAGTCAAGAACCTGTCACGAGCCATTTGTTGAGTTACTATATCCAGTTTTATTCCACCTCTCCAATACATCGGGACACGGGGTAGGGAATACATCCAATGATGATGTGTATTGAAAAAAACTCTGGCTACTTCAACTGTTGTAAGTTTCAGTTCCAGACCCGTTTTTCTGTGATGGTACATGTTTGTGCATCTGGCAATTTCATCAAAAAACTCTCTGTTGAAATAGTCGGAGAAATACTCCATTGGAGTCCTGACCGGAGTAACGGGCAAGGGAGCATAGTCATGACTACAATCGTCGAAAGGTACCTGCTTCCAAACTCTCTTTCGAGAAGGTGGCCGTAAAGATCGAGGGCGCGGAGTTAGTAGTGATGGTCCAGGAGTATCTTGCATCGGTTCCGGCTCCGGTGCTACAGACGGCTGTGGTTCAGGCTCTGGATCATCCAACTGAAGATTTTCGAAAGTGTTAGGTTGGATTTCGTCGTCGTCGTCCTCAAAATCTTCGATGTCGGAGAAGTTTCCATCGCCCAGCAATTGTATAACTTGATCTTCGTTCAAACTTCTGCCTAAAACGTTAAAAAAAAGTAACTATTAATTACAAAATCTATGTAAAAACAATAATCAAGTACAGTACCCACTCCCGAATAATGTTTCGGTAGTACAACCGGAGCCGCACGATCGTAGCGGTCGTACTTTATAACGTAATTCTAACGAAACCGTAAAGGTCAGCACAAAATCAAAATAATCTAGGTATTGGGTTATCTTTTATCTTTAAAATAATTATAAACCACAATCAAATACTTTCAAATTACTATTAAAAATAATTACTTACGGCGCGGCGAGGATCGAAAAACGCAGCCATCTTTCATCTCAGCTCACGGGTGACTGACTGCTCCCATCCCACCCGTATCTATTTTCCGCGCGTAAAATACACCTCGCGAACGATCGACGCCGATTGCGTTCGGAAAAAGTAAACCGTTTGTTGCCAGTATTTTTTTTGAATTTAAACCCACGCTCGTATCAGTCCGAGTGTAAAGGGTTAAGAGGAAATAGTATGTGAGCTCAAATTGCGATTAAACCCCGCGCCCCGCAGCGTTGCGAGATTTCATTGAGGGGCGTGCAGGGTTTCTTAAAAATTGTGCTTTATTATTTTATTAAACCTTAGGGAACTAAAAGGAAATAAATGAATAAGAAAGTATTCATTTAGATACCGCAAGCATATTTTTTTTGCCAACCCTTTTACTATTTGTAAATTTAATTTATTTCCCATTATGCGCGCGCGGCAGCAAGCAACGCGATTTTTCCCTCTGACGACTGAAGCTGGACTAGCTTGGTGTGAGGTCGGGGAGAGGAGAAGGGCCGCGGCTCAGGGTATGGTAGCTAGGCAAGAGTACATTTTAGATATTTTTATTGTTTATTTCAAACCAAAGGTTAATTTGGAAAATTTAAATCGTGTTTTGCATAGGTATCTTATAGTTACACTATCATTGAAAATCTGGTAACCTTACATGAATAATTAAAGGATTACCAGTGTTTTTTTATGGGATAGGGTGACAAATGAGCACACAGTCCATGTGATGGTAAGTGGTTGCTGTTGCCCTAGACATCTGCATCTACCCTCGATTACGAATCAAAGTGCAGATGCGTTGTCACCCGTGAGGACTAAGATGGAATGCCTCGTTTCCAGTAAAAGGGGTCTCCGGTTCTTCACATTCACCATACAAAATACAGCAACATTAAGCTACTATTTCACGCTGGTATTCTGTGAGACCATTCGTGCTACGACTATACTTCCAATATAACTGCAGCATGCCTCTACCACGTGTTTTTTCTGAAAATACAGGGTTAACTATGGATTTTTTTTCTATAGATTTTTTTTAAGAAATCCTGTTTCTGAAAAATAATTTGCTTCGTGTAAATCCTTAACTTTCTTGAATATGAATCACGAAACGAATGACTAAACACTGTAAATACAATCGAGTTTACTACAGTTACTAAAACAGTTATGTAACTGCTGTTACCTCTTATGAACAAAGTCTAAAATTCGTTTTAACCGTTGAGTAATAAATTGAACGTTTTACTTTTTCTAAACAGCAACATCTAACGTAAAATAAAAAAGTTGTGAATTTTTGCGTCCAGTGACTAACAAATTAAATAATATAAATAAGTTACATGTATGTATATATTTCATTAATTAAATTCATAATTGATTTAAAAATACTAAGGTTAATTTTTTAGTTAATTCATTTCCTTTTAGTAAGAATAAATATATTTTATAGTACCTGATTAATTACTCTTTAAATATATAAAAGTGACATCCATCGAAAACTCATAAATAAAACTAAGGATGTTTTTTTTTGTGTTTTTCATGTGTAAATAAACTGATATAAACTGAAATTGTAGTTCAAATAAAGAAAATTTTTATATGTATATTGGTCAGATCTTAGAATTTACAATATTTTTCTAAATGAGTCGATTATTACGTGAAATAGCGGTATTTCATAAAATTTTACGGTATTTTTGACTATATCATGGTATAGCTTGACCAAATCAATGAATAGAGATACAAACAACCTCAACGATATGAACTACCAAACATGACATTGCTCTTTCTAGATATTATATTTATCATATTTGTTAATTTTAGCAAAATTACTTACAAAACTGTAATTAAAAAAGGTCTTTAATTCAGTATGTTGTGTGTCAATCGCCATAGCAATATTTCACTATTGTTTTTAGTCAAGTCCGATATAAGTGATTGAAAATAACCGGTTCGCCAAGCGGTGCGCACTTTAGATCGTACAATACCTACCTTACGTTCGCTCCAGAAGAGCACTAATTAGATCAGAATTATGTAAAATTGTGTACCTATGAAAAAACTATTTTTTCGTTTTAAACAAAACCAAAGACACTATTCAATAGATAATTGTATCAAAGACAAAGATATGCTCTTTTATTTTAAACCATAACCTGGCAATGTTTCTTAGAAAAAAAAAAGTCTATGAGATTTTATTTATGATTGATAGAATAGGAAAAAAAAGAAAAGTTTAAACACTGGTTTATTTTAATTTTAGGTAGAACTGCATTGATAGAATATTGAAAATTATCTGTCAAAGCCGCTAATCAAATTGATCTAAACGTAAATTTCGTTGTCGGTACGTAAGCATCCAAAATTAAATCTGTTCATATTTTAATGGCAATTTGAAGTGTCGTTTTACCAAGTCCTCGGTGATGAAAAAAAACTTCGCGAGGAAACCTGTATATCTAAGTAGTCAAAAAATATTTCGGAAATCATTTTTTATGTATAGGTATGTGAAATTGGTCATCCCGCGTTGGAGTCAACTCCTTGTCTATGCCCAGTAGCGGGATGTATATAGACTGCTATTTTTATACTTTTGATAGGGCTATCCACTGCTGATGACCGCATATTTGCAGTAGTATTTACGCATGGCAAGCAGGTGGGCAATCGCAGCTTTTTATTACTTTGCACTGTAAATTTCGTTATATACTTTATATATATATATATATATCGTTAACACCATCCTTACCATTTCCCAAAACTGCTCTCGGATATAAGTGGGCTTAGACATTTCTACGGCGTAGACCCCTAGAACAAACAACTTCTTTAAGCCCACTTTCATTCGTATTCATAGCAGTCTTGGGCTTACACATTCATACTCTTTCATCCATTGGCCCATTCTTTATGAAAGAATGCCCTTCCTTCTGGCATGCCCGCTCGGTCTCGTCTATACCAGATCAGTATGCGGTAAACATGCCATGTGTAGCGACATCCTTCCCTTTCCATTTCGTCTCGTTTACGCATAACACATCTATTCCCCTATCATAAATCATATCGTATACTTCATCCATCTTATCATTCATTAATCCACGTACATTCAGCATAGCCAGCGGGATTCTGCAATCCACTTTTCGCCCCTACTATCAAATTACAGGTACAGTAAACTTTTCGCCCCTCAAATTGTGATACAACAAATTGTTGCGCTGCAACGTTGCATAAGTTCTGCGGTAATATCCACGTTACGCTACCACGCCATCACCGCAGTGCGTCATGTAGCTGCCCTCCCATTGAAACTGGACTGCTTTGCAACGCTGCATAGGCCATGTGGCACCCAATGCAGCGAAATCATTATACAACAGCAAGGAATTGTAACGGAGTCCCCGTTACGGTGCATCGTGTGACCTCAATCTCAGCGAAAATGTGTTGCATTGCAACGCTGAATAGGCTATGTGGCATCCACATAAGCGAAATCATTATACATCAGCTACGCCACGCTACTTTCTCAGCGAAGTTGTGATATACGGTAATGCTTCATAGGCCATGTCGAATTAAAGACTGTGTGATATTTACAATGTGATAGCGCGCCGACGTCACAGTATAGAGAGTGGCTTCTCTATCAGAGAACTGCGCTGCGCTGCAATGCTGCATATTGCGAACACTGCTGAAAATTTGCTTCTCCCATTAATAGGTGCCTTCATTTAATCACCACAATTGTCAGGCTGATTGACGTAAGAGATCTTGTGACTTTTATGGTGCTTGTTGTGGACTCACTAAGCACATTCGGAGTAGCCATTTCGGATCGTTCCCTTAACCTTGAACCAACCATGTGGATTCCTCTTAGTTCACCGCGGGTGACTAAGCCACGGTTACTAAACACACCGCTACAACAAGGCTGGAAACCGTTTGTGGGAGAGTCCATGGATACATGCAACCAACTTCAATCTAGGAAGACTACAGGTGCATTATCACCCCTGATGTCTTATTTTGAATGCCTCACTGACTGTTATTACTGGCTTTCCTTCAGACCGTAACACATCAATGCAGGCATTGCTATTTGGAAACAGAAATAGGTGAGAAGGCGTTACCTAAACAAATGGGATCTTAAGCAGAAAAGGGATCGTACAACCTATTTAAGTAAGTTAAGTAACCCAAGTATGTATCATGGGCCTATGGACTTGAAATTTGACAAAATTGTAGAATTTGTTAGCCAGTATTTAGAAATTGGTTGAATTTTGTATTTTTCTTATAATTGAATATGGGCATTATTTTTAAATCGCTACAAAGCCTTAAATATTTAAATATGTACTTGTTTCTTTTATATTCCTGTCGCATTACTTTATGGCCCAAACTGTCAAAAGAATCTTCATTTACTCCTTATCATTAAAGGTGCCAAAAGTACAGCCCTTTGGGAGAATGTACCACCTTGTGAATGCCCGGGACTTTTTGTTACGCCAATGGCGACCATTGTGAGATGTAGATGGTAGAATTCTAGCGTAATCTTCCCGTTTCCAAAGTAGCAGAAGGTATTCATAAGGACTTCTCCACAAAAAGTACGCTTGCATCAACTGAACTGTTTGTTTTATCTTCAGATGCTTATGCAGCCTTGATTCCCCTAGCACCGGCTGGACTCTGACGCAACTTAGAAGATAACTACTCCTTTGTCTGGCTGAAGCACTAGAAGTGCAACCCGGCCAGAATCGCGAAGAAGAAACATTCCTCCTGCGACCCATGAACCGACAAAGAATTGCGAGCGAATGAGTGAAGCTAATTTTAATATTATTTAAAATGCTCAATACTTTAAAAAGTGTTCATTTGTAGATGCGAAAAAAATAAAAATTAAATTAAGTGAAGCCCTCTCGTCTACGAGGTTGTTGTTCGTTAAGTGAAATAAGTCGATAACGGCAGGTTAGTTTTAAGCTCTTCTGAATTTTTAATTTAATGGCTAATTAGTTGAATTATAACTGAAAGAAAACAAGTTTGCGGGTCGAAAATATATATCAAGATGCTTATGATGCAAATGGTATATTACTGATTTATAAATAATTGGTTTCACTTTAGGACTTAACCTTGTAATTTATTTTTATTCTAAATTAAGCTATTAAAGATCTAATTATTTTTAAAACCGAGCGGTTTTTAGATTGAAAAGATTGCAATCATAACAAATACTGTAGAATTTAACCGTTTGAATTTTTTTTATATATTGTAAACATTATAATCCTAATTTACATAATTTGTAAATAATTCACAGTCAATCATTAACAAAACCTAGGATAAAAAAATAGAAAATAAAATTGAAACAAAGGAAAACTCGTCCGTACAGTTCAACCATTTATTGCGAGAGAGGGAAATCACAAACTACCTTCCTTATACTAACAATAAGCTTACCCTACATTACACCTCCACCCTTATTCTAAACGTATTTAAACTAATATAAAATAAAACACATATCATTTAACTAACTTACAACTAATCAAAATCAAATCCATAACATCGCGGGGCCCTACGAGTTCTAGGCGGGTTGGGGCGCTCCCTCGACGGGCTCGAAGCCGCGGGCACCGGCTGCGTGGCGGGCGGGGGACGCGGGGACGTCGCGGCGTGCGCGGACCCGGCCGCGGCCTCTCTGCCACTCGAACCGGCCTCTTCCTCCACCACCGTAGAGGAGCTATTCGGATACGCTAGATAGGAACGTGATAATGAACCTCTTCCTCCTTCTGAAACATCCCGGTCTTCCCCTTCCCTATCCGGTTCCCCCGATCGTGGTTTTATCTGGTCGACATGTCTATGAATAAAGACTTTATCAGCCCCTAGAATATTATAGTCCGTTTCTCCTAGTCTGGAGCGTACTTCTCATTTTAACCATTTTACAACCGAGTTAGGATAATCGCGGTACCACACTCGGTCCCCCGGCGCGAACTGCCGGCGACTGCCACCCGCGGCGCGCGCCTGCCGCGCCTGCTCGCGCCGCACGCGGGGCCCCAGCTCCGTCTTCAGACAGTCGAGGCGTGTGCGCAGTGAACGACCTTGTAATAATTTCGCGGGGCTCACACCGGTAGTACAGTGTTCGGTGTTACGATATACGAGTAGAAACCTATTAAGCGCGATATCGATATTCACACCCTGTACCAGTGCCTTCTTTATAACCCGCTTGCCAATTCTAACCGCATTCTCAGCTGCGCCATTCGAAGCCGGGTGATAGGGTGCTGAAAATATGTGTTCTATACCGTTATCATTAAGAAATAACTGAAATTCCTGACTAGTAAATGGCGGACCGTTGTCACTCACTATCTGTCTTGGCAGACCGAATCTAGCCCACGTTTCCCTTAATTTGCTTATTAAATTTTTTGCCGAAATGGAACTCATAGCAGTGACTTCGACCCATTTAGAATGAGCGTCCACGGTGACTAAGTAAGTAGCGCCCCCCTATCGGCCCTAAAAAATCGAGATGCAGTCGCGACCACGGGCGCTCTGGCCACAGCCACGGGCGCGGCTCGTGTCGCTCCGGCGCGTCCGCCACGCGCGCGCACACCGAGCAGGCGCGGCACACGGCCTCCACCGCCTCGTCGATCCCCGGCCACCACACGTAGCTGCGAGCGAACTGTTTCGTCTTAGTGATCCCCATGTGAGCCTCATGTAACTCCGCGAGAACTTTCTCCCTGCAACTAGAAGGTACCACTACTCTGTGACCCCACATGACGCACCCCAGTCCCTCGTATAATTCTTTCTTTCTGTGAAAGTGTGGTTTGTTATCTTTTATTTCGATATCTTGCGAGTATCGCGTCTCTCACGGTTTCCCGCTTTAAACTATTATTGTCTATTAATAAGGCCACGCGAAATGTAAAAATTTTTCCGAAAATTCCCCCCCCATTCTCTTTATAGAGAAACTCACCACACACTCATTAGTTGAGACGTATTCGATATCGAAATCGTAAGTTGTTAATATTAAAGCCCATCTCTGTAATCTACTGGCCGTCATGCTAGGAACACCTTGGTGTGGACCGAATATTGTGACTAACGGTTTATGATCCGTCCGCAATGTAAACCGTCGCCCATAAATATACTGGTGAAACTTTTTCACAGCAAATACAATAGCTGACGCCTCTTTTTGTATCTGACTGTAGTTGCATTCCGCGGCGGTGAGCGCGCGCGACACGCACTTGACGGGGCGCTCGCGGCCGGCCGCGTCGCGCTGCGCCAGCACGGCGCCGAGCCCGCGCGCGCTGGCATCACACGTCACCACTAGCGGCGCGCCCGGCTCGTAGTGGCTCAGCGCGACCGCGTCACTCAAACATCTCTTAAGTACAGTGAAAGCCTGCTGTTCTAATCTACCCCATTTCAATGTCGAGTCCTTTTTTAGTAGTACGTAAAGTGGCTGTAAAATGGTACTCAAATTGGTCACGAAACGGCTATACAAATTGACCATTCCTAAAAATGACCGAAGTTCCGAAATATCTTTGGGTGGTGACATCAACAAAATCGATTCTATCTTGTCAGGATCGGGGTGGATTCCCTTTTTATTCATTACATAACCCAAATATTTCACTTTTTCTACAAAAAATTCACATTTTTCCCTTTTTAATTTACGACCGTACTCTTTCAATTTATCTAGCACTTTACGTAAAGTATGTATATGGTTTTCGATAGTATCCGAAGCGATCAAAACGTCATCCAAAAATACTACAACCCCCTTGATATCTTTTAACAATTTAACCATTATTCTTTGAAAAATTCCCGGACTGGATGCTAAGCCGAAAACAAGTCTGTTGTACATAAACAAACCGCGATGGGTGTTAATTACTGTGTACTTTTTGGTATCGTCAAGCTCGATCTGATTGTATGCCTGTGATAAGTCTATTTTGCTGAAAAATTTACTTCCCCCTAATTGCGACAATAAGTCGTCAATTTTAGGAATTGGGTACTTGTCGACAGATAAGACACGATTGAGGGTTACCTTGTAATCCGCGCATATTCGAATAGCTCCATCCGATTTATTGACAGTAACGAGAGGAGTCGCCCAGTCCGAGCACTCGACGGGCTCAATGACGCCCGCGCGCAGCATGGCGTTCAGCTCGGTGTCCACGCGCTCCCGCAGCGCGTAGGGCAGCGGCCGCGCGCGGCAGAACACCGGGGTCGCGTCCGCGCACACCGCCAGCCGAGCCCGCCCGCCCGTGAAGCGCCCCAGCCCGCCGTCGAACAACTCAGCATAGCTGAAAAACAATTCATTTACGACATGAGATACATTCATGGCTGATTCGTTTAACATGTTTACATTAAATTTTGGTACGCTGATATCAAGTTCTGACAAACACTGTCTGCCTAATAAAGTAGTAGTACCGTTATTGATAACATATAAGTCTAAAAATTTGCTAGACCGTCCATATGTCACATTAACCTCGCAGTGACCTAGTGGCTTTATTTTTGTTCCATCATAAAAGGTTAGTGCTAAATCACATGCTAATAATGGTAAATGATTAAATGTATCTTCATACGTGGTTTTACTAATACACGACAACGCCGAGCCAGTGTCTATTTCCATGTTTAAGTTATTTCCACTCACTAATAAACACAAACTCACCGGCTTGTACTGTGACAGCGACATTTGCATCACCGGTTCTTCCTCGGGTGCCTCGTGGTACTCACTCAATGCCGCCCCATCGTCTGCATTGACATAATTTGTTTTCGGTCTCTGATTATGTCCTCCGCGACCGCTGTTCCGGCTTTTCTTTCCAAAGCCCTGTACATTCGCCGCGTTTCCGTTGTAGGCGCCCGGCGCCACCGCCTGCTTATTTGTGAAACGCACGCGTCGTAAGTGGCCCATCACGCCACACTTGCTGCATATGTAGGTTCTGAACTTGCACTCGCTGGCAACATGGTCAACACCTCCGCAAGCTCCGCATAGCGAACCGCGCACATCCGCGCGGCCTGCGCCGACGCCGCCGCCACCGCCTCCCGCCACTGCGCTGTGCCGGGTATGGTGGGCTCGCTGGCCGACGCGCATGGCGTTCAGCCCACCGTTTGCCACGCCGCCGCCCTCGCCGCGCAACTGACCCGCGGCCTGCGATGACGTCACCGCTGCGCCCGACTCCACGAGCGCCGCGTCCCGCTCCGCTGCCTCCAGCGATCCTGCTAAAATCACTGCCTTGTCATAGGACAATAATTTTTCTTCCGCGAATAATCTCTGCCGTATGACGTCACTTCGAAGTCCGCACACCAACTGATCCCGTAAATTGTCCTGTAGGACTGCACCGAATTCACAATGTCTAGATAGTTTCTTTAATGCCGCCACGTAATCACTGATCGATTCACTGTCTGTTTGTCTTCTTTGCCTAAAACGATAACGTTAGGAATAAATAGATTTTATAGTACCAAACTAATTACTACTAATTACTAAATAGATAAAAGTGACATCTATTGAAAATCATAAAAAAATAAGGATGTTTCTATGTTTAATTTCTAATATATAAAAAGTTTTATGTTGTTCTTTTTTGATGTGTAAATAAACTGATATAAACTGCTTATACTTCGAATAAAGAGATTTTTATTTATGCATTGATCAGATCTTAGAATTTATGATATCATGAATTAGTCGGCTATTGCGTGAAATGGCAGTATTTCATAAAATTGAACACTCTTTGTTGACTATATCATGATTCTTGACCAAATCAATGAATAGAGATCTACTAAGCAGGACAGTGCTATTCCTAGATATCATTGTTGGGTGTATTGTAAAATAAATTCATAAAACACCGCTAGATGCAATGATAGCGTATTTTTGACAGAGGCAAAATTTTTGTAGATTATAGTATACAGTAGAAGTCCGATAATCCCGGCACGTTCGGGACCGGCTCGGTGCCGGACTACCGAAAATTTCGGTCTATCCGTCGGTAATTATAAGAACAATTAGGTTAATAATTAAACTACAAATACAGTACGCAAATATGTACATATGCAAAGTTTATTTTACATTTCATATACATAATGTATGTACACGTACTGTAAAACATATTTCACTTAGATTTAAAAGAGTCGATTGAGAAGCAAACTTTATTAGTTCATCTTTTTTTATGTCATAAATAGTTGATGAGCCAATATTAAACTCATTCATTAAAATATTTTTATTCTCGCCTTTTTCTAGCTGTTTGATGATATCTAGTTTCTGATTGAGAGTCAGTGTTACATGTTTTCGTTTCTCTCCTTTTGAACTCGAAGGATTAGGTTTTGAAAACATGATCACTGTACAGTTGAATATAACTCACTTTTTTTATAAACAGTTTCAAAATTTACGTTTACTGCGATGTGAAAGAACACAAAACAACAACGCACAAAAAAATGGCGAAGATGCTTCGTGATTTTATTAACGGAGCTAACTAGCCGGCCGCTAACTACGTTATTGTTTCCGAACAATACCGAGTGCTTTCAGATGATCCCGAACTACCCCGAAAACTTCCGAATAGCTCTTGAGCGTTTTTATTTGCTTTAAAGACACACTTTTGGTGAAAACCGAAAACCAAAGAGCGATGCCGGACTATCGGGCATTCCGGACTGTTGGATGCCGGACTAATGGACTTCTACTGTACATCACTTTATGCGTATTTATGTTATATATAAATGTTCACGGGTTTGTTATGGGATTGAGCCAAACCAGTTGCAACTCAACTAATTTTGGCTGAGTACTGGAGGGTACAGTTTGTGTTTTCATAGTTGTAGTCTAATTATATCGCCATCTACCTTCTGCTAAATAAACTAATAATAAGTAACGGATGTAATCGTATCTATTTTATCTACGAGGTGTCGGATTTATCGTTCACAAGTCTCTCGTTAAAACTGGGTATTTTTCTTATAAGCGTAGACAGAGGAACCTATAGACTAATGATTAGCGTGGCCTCGAGTGAGAAAGGACGATAACGTAGTTTTAGGTTATACAATAATCTTTATGACTTTTAAACATATTTAGATAAAATTTTTAATTGTTCTAAGAACTAAACTGAACAAGATTCACCAATCTTAGGCTCACAAAACACTTTTTTCTCACTTAAACGAACTTGTAAACTCAGATTGCTATGAACTGTCAAAGTTCGTAGCAATCTGAAGAAAAAAAACCGGCACGGAGAAAGGGAAAAACAATCACACTGCTCTGTTTCATTTCTATACAAGACGTATGCATAAATATATATTTTTCGTGTGCGAATGCGAAAGAAGGCGTCAAATTGTCTATAGGTTTCTCTGTCTACGCTTATAAGTGAGTAGTTTGATGTTTGAACTGTCAAGTCTGGTTTCAAAATGAGAAGGAAGTTATTTATTGGTAGGTGGCGTTCAGAAAGGACAATCTCACTAGTGTATTTTTTATAATAATCGAATTTTATTCTTATTTGTTACTTTATGCGAATAATTTTTATTTCCAAATGATTATAGTATTCGAATATAATTATAGAATTTTAATGAATAAATATAAAGTCGATTTTTTGAATACAATAGACTTTCTAACCCATTTCTTAACTCATTGTTCCTCGAATTCCAGATTGTATAAAGAGCTAGTTTTTTGTACTTAACCCTAGAAATATAGCCACTTTTTTAAAGCATAAACTAATTAGTTAACTTCAGGCCCAAAACTCCCAATTCTCTTTTGAATGAATGAGTGAAATATACTTTATTGTACACTAGAAATATAAATGAGGAAAAAAAGCATAAATTATTCGCGGCATCATAATTGGCGGTCTTATCGTCTAGAAGCGATCTCTACCAGGCAACCATACAGAGGATAAAGTGACCTGTGGGAACGGGTAAGGGTGTACGTAGATTATTGAAAAATACACACGACATAAATATAATCGATAAATAAATACATAATATAATTAATAAATACATTTTAAGTACAAACGTTTAGACATACATATACGAGAGCAGAAGGATTTAACAAGTAAGTGTATTCAAAGCCTTAACGTAGGTTAAAAATAAGTAGGTAGTATTTTTTTTAGAAGAATGACAATTTAAGGAGGAAAGAAGTGCGCTTTGACTTTTTTTTTAAACTTTTCAATAGACTGCGCACTTCTAATGTGTGGCGTTAGGGAGTTCCAGGGCCTAACTGAGCTTCAATAGAACAGGAGTTAGAATAGAAAGAAGTGTTATGGGAAGGAATTTTTAGGGTGAGGATTTTATGAGATCGAAAGGAGCGACAGTGAGTGTCAGCAAGAACCTCAAACCGCTCTTTAAGGTAAGCAGTAAAAATGGAATTGAATAGAATACAGTATAAAAGAGAATGAATGTGAGTATTCCTGCGGTAGATGGATCGGAAAGCCACTTCATTTTTTCACGAGATTCGGAAACATGATCATATTTTCGAAGTCCAAATATGAACCGTATGCAAAAGTTCCGATTGTGCTTCAGTTTATTAAGCAACTCTTCATTTAAATTAAGATAACATGTGCCAACATAATCGAGAATTATTAAGAGGAGTGATTGTGCTAGCGCAATTTTGCTAGGTATAGGTAGGAAATTGCTTGATCTACGGAGAGATATGACCGACGCAAACACACTCCTACTCAACTCACGTACCTGCAGAGCCCAAGATAAAAATTTGTCAAAAGTAACACATAGAATTTTAACGGTGTCACTATATGATGCAGGTGTTCCTACAAAAACAATACCATTTAGTGAAGAAAAATCTATAAAACTAACCAATTTTTGACTGCCTATTATTATTGCTTTTGTTTTTGATGTATATACTTTAAGAAAACGTGTGACCAATCCACAATTAAGTCAAGATCTTAGTTTAATAACTCTATAGTATTGGGTAAATCTATCAATTTGGCATGCACATATAACTGGAGATCATCTGAATACAGGTAGCAGAAGATAATTGGAGCGTAATCAATCTTATGATTATTGAAAGGAGAAGAGGAGAAAACACGCCACCTTGCGGTACACCGGCATTAATCTTACACCAGTTGAAGTCATTAAGACGTATCCTACGCCGGCGACCAAACCAGTAACTATGAAATCAGTCAGTCACTTCAGGAGATATGCTAAGAGAAGCTAAGATAGCTAACATTATATAGAAATCCACATTTTTAAATGCAATGATGAAATCAAGTATTGTCAACACTTCTATGTGCTGTTTATCCATACTAAGAAGAATATCCTCTATAATCTTGACTAAAGTAGTAGTTGACCATCACAGAAACCGGATTGAAAACAATTGAAGAAATTCCACCTAGATAAGTGTCGATGAACTATACGTTCAAAAATTTTTGAAAAGAATGGAATTATAGATATGAGGCGGCAGTCAGAGAAACTGGAGGGATTTGCTTTTTTGGGTCTAGGAGTAACCTGGGCTTCTTGGCAGGAAGAGAAAAAATTTCTGATACTTTACCTATAATATTTAGTGATATTGGCATAACAAAATCTTTCTAGCGTCACATTTCCTGTTTTCCTTACTTCCGTGCATAGTGTCAATGAGTTGTGTAACATAATTTTAAATAATAAAGTAAACCTTTGATTTGGTGCGGAGGCAAAGCAAACATGGCTAACTCTCTGTCCCGGCGAAAATGTCTCACTGAAATTTACACACAAAAAAAGTGGGATATTCCGTTGGTACGGAGTGTCCAGAAAGATTTATTTCACAATTTTCGCAGTTACCAAGATCAGGCTCGCCTTCTAGCTGTTTCGATTAAAGAATCTAGTCACTGGTTACACGCTGCGCTATCAAACAATCTCGGCACATTGCTTGATGGGCAAAGTTTTCGCATCGCCGTAGGAATTCGTCTAGGCAGATAGCAGCGTCGATGAGTTTGGGCTTCACGGACTTTCATGTAAGAAAAG